TCCATTGTGCAGTGGGAAACCGTCTTTGTACCATTGGACGACCATGTTTGGATCGGCCACGGGTTGCAGACGGGTTTCGAAGTGCGCTGGTTGGAATTCGATGCGCTCCTAAATCAGAGGTGATTGTAAGGGGTACCCAGAAGGCACTGTGAGTCGCTCCTGGATACCAAATGCGGCATTAATACTAGCTCCCGGTACCACTCCCCAACAAAAAAGGCTCAGGCTGACCCGAAGTCTCTATCTGCTCGTGAACCTACCAAGGAATCCATCGGTTCGAGGAACTGCGGCTTGTCGTGTTCCTTTTCTGGGGCCTCTTCGGGTTGAATTTTGGGTGCTTCCAATTCCTGAAAGTAGGATTGACTAGCAAACCTCTTCTGTAACCTACTGCTTTGTGCACTGTAGAGGACAGTACCTGGATCCTCTCCCAGCTGGCTGGATGCTGTGGATCGGCATAGATGACACCTCTGGGAAGGACGTTGAAGTTGCAGGTGGTAGTAGCTTCACCGAGATCGTTCTTTGCGACACAAGTCCATTCACCGGAATCTTGTCCGAAAGCGTACAGAATGTCCATTGCAACATGGCCAAAGTCGTGGGCGGTTCGGAAACGGTGCCCGTTCACTAGTGGAGCACCATTGTGGAACCTACAAATGGAAGTCATCTCTTAGCTCCCACAAGGTCACGTTCCCCATTTCAGGAACTCCTGAACAAAGGTTCCCGGGAGCCGATTCAAACCTACCACTGAACGGTCAGCTTATTGTCGTTAGTAGGAATAACTTCGCACTCAAGATGGATTGGTGTGCCTTCAGACACATCGTCCAATTTGCCTGGCAATGGCACGACGAATTTCGGAGGCATCTGAAATTCGGGTGAATATGTGGGCGGATATCAATTCTGGACCTCAAGACGGCATTCTGAAGGCTCGGTTCCAAGGAGTATTTCTAGAGGGTTCGATACCTTCTCGATTTCCTCTTCGATTCTTTCGGGAGGTCGGCGGTTTTCAATTTCCTGTACGCGAACCCATGACTGTTCATGTTGTGGGTCGAGCATAAGTGCACTGATCGGGGTACATTTCACCGTACACGAAGTTGCTGCTTCACCGAAGTCGGACACAGCCTGGAGCAAACAAGATGATCTGGGATATCATGGGAGCGTTACCTGAGACCAAATCCAATCCCACCTTGCAAGTGTACACTCCAGAATCTTCTGGGTAGAGACCAAGAATATCCAAGCTGACATAGTCGAAGTTTCGTGCTGGCATGAAACGAGATGCTTCGGGAATTGGCTGACCATTGACGGTCCAGAATACCTGAATAAGGAACCCATTCAGGAAAGGAATCCAGTGAACCCCCAGACTTTCTCTAGGTTGGACCCACCTTGAGTGTTGGATCATTGACAGGTACCAGTCGGCAATCAAGTCGCACTGCATCAGCCTCTGTGGCTTCGTCGATGTTCTGAAAGCAGTCAGCATTATTCATAAGCTACCACAGTTGAGAAGTAAGGTCAGCGGGGTCCCGAGAAGTTCTGGCTGCTCGCCAGCCCCACCTGGAGCTGTTCGGTGAAGGTCGGCGGTGGGAACGACATTTCGGGTGATGGTGGACGAATCTCCTGGCGATTCTCCATTTCTTGAATTTTTGCCCATGATGACTCGTGCTGGGTGTCGAGATAGATGTTGCGTCTTGCTGAAACACCGCCACCGCTACGACTATGTGTCAAAAGGTCCGGAAGGGGAAAACCTACGTTTGCATTCGAGTTTGAAGCTTGTCTCTGCTTGACCGGCATTGTTCGTGGCACGGCACACGTAGGTGCCAGTGTCTTCTGGATGGACGTGTAGGAATTCCAAGCCGACATATCCAAAGTCGTGGATGGTGCGGATGCGCGAGCCGAACATGAGCGGTCGGCCATCGCAGAACCATTCGATCTGAGGCGGTCCGATCGACCCAAGTATTCGTCGAGGAACGGGGGATCACAAACGAATTTCCTTACCTTCAGCGAAGGATCGTTGATCGGTTGTACAATACAATCCATGTGCACACTTTGGCCCTCTTTGAGGATTTCGTCTGGTCCACTGAGTTGTTGAGTAAAGACTGGCGCTTGTGGCGGTAGTTCAGGTTCTGAACAGGTGAGCTTGAAAATGTTATGAGGAGGAGTTGTAGGAGAAGGACTGACCGCTAGGCTTAGCCGGCTGTAGCTGTTCGATTTCCTGGATTCTTCGCAACGATTCTGGATGAGCCGTGTCGGCGAGAATCGACTTGAGCCGTTCCACGTCGAATTCAGTTGATGTCTCGGTTCTTCCTTAAAACGAAAAACAATATGGGTCGTTTTTGGGCCCTGGCAATTCTACCGTCGGCAGCACACAGTGGTACCTTCACACTTCCAGACGAGTCCGATACAAGTCACAAAATCCTGAGAAAAGGTTGGACTGGGCGGATGTGGGACGATATGGGAACATTTGGCGCTATCCCACCTCCGTACGGAAAATGCGGCAGGATGAGAAAACACAAAAACGATAAAGCAACTACGAGCTGCTTGAGATACTTCCCGAAACGGAGCCCTTTTTGGGTGTTACAATGCGTTCGTTGGTCATCAGGTTCCAGGTGACCTGTCAGGTATGAGTTAGGCAGCGCGGGCCCCAATTTGACCTTTGAATCTGACCTGGTTTCCACATTTCCACACAAGATCGTAACCATGCCAAAGATATTCCAGGACCCATCTATTTCATGGAAATTGAAGGCTTCAGGCTTACCTGCTTCATTTTCGATGACCAAGGTATACTTTCCGGCATCTTCAGCGATAACGTAGTCGATATCGAGGGTAATGTAGCCAAAATCGTTCAACAAACGATATCGGCTGCTGGCTTTCAGTGGTTGACCGTTGAACAACCATTGGTACTGAAATTACCCATGCTCGATAAGTCCTGAATCCCTGGGCCAACACTGGGATTACTCACCGTCAATGTGTTGTCGTCTACTGGCGAAACCTGTACTTCGAGGTGTAGTGTTTGTGATTCGTGTACAATATCGAATTTTGGTGGAAGTCCCTGAAATTCAAGTAGTCTTTGGGATCGATTCTGAGGAGAATAAGAGTTTACTGAGTTTACTGACTTTGAGGATTTGCGGCATTTCTTTTGGCTTTTCTGGAGCCGGTTCGACTCGTTGTAATGGTGTTTCAAGTTCTTTGATACGTTGCAGTGAAGTTGGATGGAATGAGTCACGGTACTGAAAGGTCCTGGTTGGATAATCTGTTTGAATTGCAAAGTAAATTTTGAAAACTGAAAGATCGGCTAATCGAAGACTCACGTTAGCTGGATCAATTCGGCAATCGATATCGACAGTGGATTGCGCTTCGCCGGCAGCATTTCTTTAAAGGTTATTGATTTACTGGGAATCCATGTCAAAATAGGAGCAAGACAGTTGGTCCCGCGGGGATATCGGGCCCTCAAGCCACGATATCGTTCGATATAGGCTATTGATGATCTCTACTCATACAGTTTTCCCGAATAGGACCGTAAATGTGAAACTTGTATATCGATTTTGCGCGTGCGTGCTGCTACAAAACAACATGCACGCGTAAAATCAATACTGAAGCTTGTTAGTGCGCGCGTCAAGTATAGACGCAACTGGGATTAGCAATGTGGGAAAAATCGGGCTAACTGGGGAAAGAACTGGATAAAGTGAGCTGAACCATACCTGACAACCAGAGTGTAGGTGCCGCTGTCTTCTGGATAGCAGTAAAGGATGTTCAAAGCAATATAGCCAAAATCTTGTGACAGCACGAATCGATGTGCTTTCATCAATGGACGTCCGTTCACAAGCCATTCGTACTGAAAAACCGAGTTTTCTCGAATCCAAGTTTTCGCTGTCTTTCGCTGAGTACGGTAAAGATGGCGAAATTCGCTCCTGCTCAAAATAGCCTTGCCCAGGGGACTGAATGGAAAGCCCGGGAACAGAGTGTTGTAGGTAGAAACTTGAAGAAAATGATTCCAACGGTGAAGCTCAAGAAAAATATGGAAGGGAACAGGACAAGAAGCTGTTAGGGGGGGACCGTATTGGCAGACAGGCTATGGAACGATCACCTTACCCCAGCTTCTCAGGAAGTTCCACAGTAGCTTTTTGCTTTGGATCCCATGTCCCTACTGTTAATCCTTGCTCCGCTGTTTGAGAAGCCCTCAGATCCAGAGAATCCAGGCCCCTATTGATCGAGTTATTGATTTGGGATTTGCGGCTAAAATTGTCCACCGACGCATTCGTTGTCAGCAAACTGATTCTGGACGACATGTGCACTTGCGCGACGTAAATCCGTTACGCAAACGATAGACTGCGCCAGCGCTTCTGCCGCTGCATGGCCCCCGTCACGCAAACAGCTCTCAGGCTTACAACTAATAACGGTGCTAAAAAGAACGAGCACCAAGGGAGGGAGTACTGTAGGCTTGGACTTATGGACATCCTCCAGGAAGCACCTCTGGGAGCTCGGGGCACGCTTTAAAACCGTACTCTTAAGCCCTGTGGGCCAATACAGGGCCCCATAAAGCAATGAGGTGTCACCTGGTGGTTGTACTATACATCTTCCAATACCAAGCAGCTTACCGTGAGAGTGTTGTCGTCGGCAGGTGCCACTTGGGCTTCAAGGTAGATGTTATCACCCTCGCTGCATTGAATAGCCGGACCCAACTGCTTGACGAATGTGGGCACCTGACAATGACCATTTTTTAAATCGTTCAAATAAACTTCACAGAACATATATAGGATCCACTGAACAAAAGCAAAAAGGCACTACTCACTTCCTTCGGTGCTTCTGGGAGCTCCTGTGGCTTGGGTTTCGGTGCTTCGATTTCTTGAATACGTTGGTAGCTCTTCGGATGTTGTACTTGTCCAAGAATAGCGTCTTTGGCTGAACCAGGTAGGTTTAGTAGACCCATTCGGGTGCCATTGAATCTAGGGCTTCTGGGAGATAATCCACGAGGGTCAGTTGTGGTTTTGAATGGGATAGCACCATAAATTTTTGGTGACAGAGTGTCATTGAGGAAAGGATGGGAGACTGGAGGCAAACCACGGGGTTCGGTGAGGGTATCATTGGCCCAACGAGTTCTGTTAGACCGATTTAGGCCAGAATTTCTAGAAGTAGAATGGAATGAAGTCATTCGTCGTAGTGAGCGCTGAGACGTTCGCCGCCGCCGTCGCCGCCGCCCCGCTTCGTCATAAGGCTTTTGGACAAAGCGCTGAACAGCAAACAGAAATCGCCCTTGGCGTGTGCACGTTGTGTCTCGGGTTTCTCAGGGACAGTGCATCCTTCTGCTACAGTCTTTAGAAACGGCCCTTTAGTGAGGTCAAACGGTTTGGGTAAGTGAGGGTATCATCGAAGTTGCTCAGGTAATTCTTGATACGCTGCGCATTCCACTTCCTTTTGGGATTACAGGGGCATGCAAACATTGATCGGTCTTTCCCGACTATTGCGTATCTAAGACTGGCTCAGAGTAGCATTTTGTAAACAAAGGAATCCGAACTTTTGGTAGGGGTCGGCTAAATTGTTAAAAGTCGGACTCCAAGACCAGCAGTTAACGAGCTGTTTTTTGAGAGTTCGAATATGATCACCCTCATCTTCAAATGGATGCCAGTCTCGGTTCGACACCTCCAACTCGGTGCAAAAAATCGAGCTGACCATTTCGGAGCCTTAGCTATTGTTTATTGTTTATTTGTTGGTATTTTCTGTTTTCTGGCCGTTGGAGATTTCTTTCCTGTAAGGATTGGGTGAACAGAAAAGCGGAACTTACGATTGCAACTGATTTTCGTCTTGGTCTCAACCGAGCCCAGAGCGTTTTCTGCTTTGCAAGTGTATTCGCCACTGTCTTGAGGGTATACGCCGAGGATATCCAGTGAAACAAATCCAAAGTCATAGAATGTACGGAAGCGATGGCCTGAATAGGATTTATTTAGTGAGGGAGGTTATTTCCGCCGAAAAGGGCCATTTGAAATCCAAGGCCACCCACCATGTGGAATAGGTGCTCCATTGCGAAGCCATGTCACTTTTAGGGTGTTGTCATTGATCGGCTTCACCTGGCATTCCAGATGGATCGGTTCACCTTCTTCGACCTGAAATCGAGTGATCTGTTGTGCTTCTTCGTTCTTATACCTCTGATCCCAGCTCGGGAAGTCCCTAGGTGTTCCTTAGGGTTCAGCCTAAGTGACTCCTACCTCTCCCATGTCAGCCGCCAGCGGCACAACGAACACGGGGGCCATGTCAGGGCCATGCTCTTCGACTTCACGTCGGGGGAACTTGTCAAGACCTTCCAGATAGTTGATCTTATCGAGCGATTCTTCGTGATGAGTATCGAGAACGACCTCTTTGGCGGCTGAAATGTAAGGGCTTTATTTGGCTTACGCAGATTTCGAGAATACCCTTTATACTCACGTAAAACTTTGACATGGCCCTGTCGAGTAGCTTCACCAAGGGCATTTGAGACGCGCAGGGTGTACGTTCCTGAGTCTTCTGCGATCGCTCCCTGTAAGAACAGACGGGTGTTTCGAGTTCCGCATGGATCAAGGTCAAGGACATGGGAGGCTTCCTGCTCACCTTCACGTCTAGAGCGACAAAACCAAACTCGCTGAGCGTCTTTACACGACTTCCAGTTATTATTGGATGGTCGTTCACGAACCATTCTACCTTCATTGTTGGATCGTTCACTGGGGTTACCTGAAAAAGGAGAATGACCTGTTTACCTAGGCCCCTATGGCTTCGTAATAAGTAAGTAGGTGAAATCCCAACCTTAAGGTCCATATGGATGTCGTCATGTTCATTGAGTTCAAGATCAGGGAGATTGCCAATGATCTGTGGTGCAGCATCGCATGTGCGATCCTCAACCTCTGGGAGACCGACTCGACGGTCTTGTTCCAATTCCTGAACGGAAAACCCATGGTTTTTTCCGAAGCTCGTAGGATGTGAAGGGGTAGGTGGATTCGCATATCCGCTAATTCGCCCTCACGACCAAAGATGGCCAATCAGTTGTACCTGAATTCGTTGCAGTCCTTCGGGATGGTGAGGGTCCAGGTAAAGAGTCTTGGCGCTACCGACGACCAGTTCCAGTGTGCACTGGGCTTCTCCCAGTTCGTTACGTGCTACCTAAAAGTACTAGCATGAGCACACAAACCCTTTCCGGGCAGTTCCCAACCATGATAACCCTCTCAACTCCAAAAATCAGGGGTATGGACATAGAGCTGAACTGACCAGAGTGTAGGTACCGCTATCTTCTGGATAGGCATACAGAATATCGAGGGCGACGTAGCCAAAGTCAAACATAGGACGGAATCGATGGGCAGCCGGAAGTGGTGCTCCATTGTGGTACCTAAAGAGGAAGAGTCTGGTAGTTCTTAAGAAGTTGGATGGAATAGTACCCGTGACAAGCGGAATCCAAAATATCAATGAGAAAAACATCGAAAGATTGCCCTCCAAATCGAAGAGTCTTCAGAATTCCGAAATTCGGAATCCGGAAAGACTTCAACCCCAGAAATCGTCTGAAGGCTTCACTGATTGCCAGACTCACCATTCCACTGTCATTTTGACGTCATTAGCCGGTTGCAGGCGAGCCTCGAAGTGTACAGGATCGTTTTCCATGCACTCGATACGGGCTGCCAAAGGTCTGACGAATCGAGGCTTGTCTAATGATTGGAATTCCTCAGGTCGGTCGACTTCTTGGGGTCCAATGTGTACCTGAACACCAATTCTTTCCCAAAGCTCTTACGAGTAGAGGGGAAGAGGACCCATACTTGATGGCTGTCCAGGTATCCAATAATCTGAAGGCTGTCCTGGTGCTTAGTGTCCAATTGAAGAGTCGGCATAGCAATTGTGGTAAGTTCAGCCGAGCTTTGCGCCTAAATCGCCAGCTTGTATCGAGGGATTACGATAGGAGCCAGGGGGCGCTAGATAGTGCAAAAGCGTGGTTTTGAGCTGAAGAGCTACTCTTTACCTGTCCGTTAGCGTTGAACAGTACGCAGGTGTATGTGCCGGCGTCATCGGGATATGTTGGATTGAGGGACAACGAGACCACTCCGAAGTTGTTGAATGTCTGCAATACATAAATATAGCAAAGCAAGGAGGAATAACCGCGGTAAACTATAAAAAGAATAGATGTCCAGGACGCGTGCGGTCGCGATGCGGCTAAAGGGAATCACGATCGATAGGTTTCGCGTCCAAACTAAATTCCAAAACAGCTCCCTTTCTTTTTTGTGATTTATGTCCACCTACTTCTCCAGTTCCTTCCTAACACACCGCGACCGCTCGCTTCCTTGACATACAGTCCCTATGAGACATTAGTCTCGAACGAGGGTCCAATTCGGTTGATCTCTGTAAGAATACCCATAGCTCACCTGAATTCTGTTGGCATTTGGCAGTGCATGGCCATCCTTGAGCCAGCTGACCCTCAGGGAGGGATCATTAACAGGGCTGATACGAGCCTCGAAGAATGATCGGCCTAATTCCTGGTCGCAATGGAACGGTTGCAGCTGTAAACAGTAAACATTTAGGTTTGAGCCTCGGAAAAGTGGCGGCTTCAGTGACGGACCTGAGTAAGGAACTTGGGGACCATGTCCTGTTTGGCATGGCTGAACTGGATTTCTCGCACGTCGTCAACGTCAAGGTCACGGTTGTGTTCGTATTTGTGGAGATCGACTCGAGCTGAAAGGGCCCCAAGTGAGTCTCAGGATAACCGGAAGAAGTCCGAGGACAAACTCACGATGGACAATGACGGTGGCCTGATTCTCGGCTTCACCAAGTTTGTTGATAGCTCGGCAGGTGAACACACCACTGTCATCTTTCGTGGCATTCAGAATGTCAAGGGTAGCAAAGCCATGGTTCAGCGTCTGATGGCATCGGTCATCTGTAAAGTTATGTTGTACTACTCGGGGGGTACAACTAGCAGCCGGCGATCACCGTACTTTTCATAAGCTCGCGTCCGTTCAGGTACCATACGACGACCAGGTTCGGGTCGTTGAGTGGAGTTAGCTTAGCTTCAAGGTGAATGGGCTGTCCTTCGAACAGTTCATGAGATCGCAAATCAGAATGGAAGTTAGGGAGATCTGCAAGAAAACGATGGTGAGGTGAGGAACTGAGTTTATAAAAATGAGTAGAACTTGTAACTTACCTAGTTGGATTCCTGGAGGTGCGCGAGAGGTTCTCGACTGGTATGCCGTGCCAAAGCTATTGCCAAGGGTAGGCTGATCGACTGTGCTGTGGCCTGAAAAGTTTTTGATTCATTTGCTGATCCGTTTCACTATCCGGGTGGGGTGAATGTAATCTCGAAGAATCTTATCGAAACCGGGTCGAATTGGCAGAATGCACCTCAGACAGCAAAAAAATGGCCACAACCACAAAAGCAGGAGACTCTCCCGGTGCGAAATCAAGGCTTGGGAGGAAAAAGAGTGAAAAGGTTCCCAAAGCTTTTCTCGGAACTTACCCATGACATTTATCACAACTGAGCTGCGAGCCTCACCCAATGGGTTAATCAAGACCACTGTGTATTCTCCCTGAAAGAAGAACGTTTTCATAAAAGAACAATGTAATGGTTCCGTTTAAAGTAATCTACAGTACCTGATCGAATACGGTAATCGGGTTAATTTCAAGTATAGCAAGTCCTTTCTCACTGATTGTTGTAACACGTGATGAAAGAACAATGGGTTTGCCATTCAATAACCATACGACCTACAGTAATCATTAAATATCAAAGTTAGGAATACAGTAGGAGTAAGTTCGCTCACTTTGATGTTGGGGTCATCAGCTGGGGAGTATTTGAATTCAAGACGAGCTGTCTGGCCTTCGATGAGGTTCAGCGGCTGCAGTTGACCAGCAAATGCTGGAGCTGATTTTGAGGCTGCTTTATCTTGCATTTCATTGACGGGAGTTCTGAAATGGGAGGATCACAAAGGCCCTTTTCTGGTCGTACCCAGGTCCATTCTCACCTGGCCATTCGGCGATCCACTTTTCGGAGGGTGACCTGTTCACGGTGGGAGGGGCCAAGTTTTTGGCGACTTTGAACGACAACTCTGCCCTGAAATGGCAATTTATTTGGCAAGGGGGACATCCTGGCTCTTTGGGAGGTTCAAATCACTAACGTTGAGGGCTGTGGTGCCAAATTTGTTGATTGCATCACAGCGGTACCATCCGCCTTCGGCCAGTGTCGCATTTTCGATAAATAGCGTCGTCTCATTTCCTTTGTTCTCAATTCTGTAATTACAGACGGTCATGTTCCTTACACGACTGCGACTTCGACCACATGAAACCTTCAAGGCTACCGTAACCTGCCTGCTTCCCGTAATTACCTGCTCAACCTGCCCACACATTTTTTCTGACTTTTGACAAAAACTGATCATCTGCGACCTTCCATGGGCTTACAGTGAGCCCCTTTTTCCCCAGTACCAAGTCGGGGTGGGAAGACCTATAAGCTCATCAGGCAAGCAACTCTCTGATGCAAATCAAATTCTCTGATGCATGCGGGATGCAGTAGACCTTTGCAAACAGAACAGGAAGAGTTTTTCAGATCAGCCGCTGCACGCCGGCCACCTACACCTAGTCGTGGGTCGATTTTACTCAGCTGCAGACCGCAGGATACGGTAACAACACTTCCTAGCTCCCACGAACACCATTTCCCTTCCCTACAACCAGACCGCGCTCATTTCAGACTGGGTAATGACTCTATTTTAAGTCAGAAGATCACTGTGGAAACAGTTCCAAGAAAACTCTACCTGAACGGAGGTGAACTTCTGATTTCCTCGTTATCTTTGAACCATTTATAGGTGATCTTGTCGCCAGTGGCTCTGCAGAACAATTTTACGGAATCTCCTTCATAGATTGTTGTAGACTGGAATTTCCCGGTGAATTCCGGGGCATCTGGTGGTCTTGCTTCTGAAAAATGGAAGCGATTAACTACTGGAGTGTGGGGATATGTTAATTCCTCTATTAAATTAGGAAGTAGTGGGATAAGCAAGGAGGTAGGTGCCTCAAATGACTCCTAGATCACTGAGAGTTCGGTTATGACGGCAGGGCTTTTCCTAACTTGATCAATAGTTTCAAGCTGAAGTAAATATTTACTCAGTATACGATCGAATATCTCAAAGCTAGTTTCTAAAGCAGAGGTAAAGCTTTGTTTACCTAGGTATAATCAAATAGGACGACGGATATGGAAAAAACGTTCTGAATAAAGTTCATCGTTGAAAGGTGAGCTTTCTTAACCCATCTTAACTCTTGCGTACGGTAACGGCTAGTCTAAACGCAATGCCATGCCGTAGTGGGATGAGAAGACCGCCTACCGTACCCCACTACCCAATCACGTGCAAGGACGCACAAAATTACTCCGGCCACACCCACATACCTGTCGGTTACCGTAATCCGATGGTGGGCTGCTGCAAGGGAGAGGGTTGATTTTGATAATGGTGGTGGTGGCTTTGGAGGAGGTATAGGGTCCAACGGGTCCGGACGGTGAAGGAAACTGTCAAGGAATATTCTCCCGTTTGGGAAAAACACTTACGGAGTACGTTAAGCATGAATCTGCTTTGGAATGTTCCTCCACTATTTCGTGCAATAGCTGCATAGGTATTTGCATCGTTAGCATCAACCTGAAGTTAGAAAGTTCTTGTGTTACATCAACTTGTGGGCGCCAACTTAAAAGAGAAACCCTTTCGCTCAGGAGAAGAAAAAAAGAAAAGGAAAAAATGAAAAAGAATGAAAAACCTACTTTTTCGATGATGAGTTTACTGTCGCCAGCATGGCCATGTTCGATTTTGAATTTGCCACCGGATTGTATAGGAGTGCCATCTACTCGGCACCATTCCAATGTCGGTGGTGGTACGCCAGTAGTCTGAAGTAAAACAATTTCTTCCCGCTTCTGGTGTGAGCCAAGACTTTGCCCACGCAGGAAGAATGCAGAGGGAATGGTACGGGTTCGATCCAGGAAGGGAGTCCTACAGTATGAATCGTTTTGTTCGATGATGAAAAGAAAAACAATGGCTAAGTGGCACGGGTGACGTCAATCTGTGCTAGCAAAGTGACTAATCAATAGCAAAATGATTGGTATAGAAGGAGTAGGGGAGGATGAAATGAGGAAGAGGAATTGATGAATGAGAAAGGAAGGAACAAACTCACCTTGCATGTGAATACGACTGTTTCGCCTGCTTTGGCAGCGACTGACTGTGGATGAACGAGGAATTGTGGTGGTCGTGACTGAAAAGCAACGGAATTTCCTTGATTTCAAGAATTCCTACATTTTACTGCGAAACTTACTGGTACTAGGGATGCGCCATGTTCATGTGAATGTCCAGGGATCATTTTAGTACGAGTAGCACTTACTGCTGATTCTCCATTTGTCATAGGGCCTGATGCAGGCCTTGGACTCTGCAAAATTTAGTTCATCCACTTTTTGTTTATTTATTTTGCACATAAAGCCGTGAAATCGAATGTTACCGGTGTGAGAGTTGGCATATTTTGACTTCGTTGTGTTTCAATGTGTTTCTGATATTGATTTAATTGACGGAATTGTTGGTTGTCTGATGGGACAGATCGGTGATATTCTTGGAAATGCTGAAAAATTTATATCGATCAAATAAAAAATCGAAATAGTGATTTTCCCAGACGAGTAGGAAAAATTGGTGGAAATAGGAAAGTGCCACAAAGCGGGTGATGGCTGTGGGCAGGCCATGAATTGGTCCGTTAGCGCAGAGGATATATTCAAGGGCAGGTATCCCTTGGCTTTATAAATCGTCTAGAATGGGGTGTGATCAACTAAAAAAAGGATAGAAATAGGGAAATACCCGAACACGGTCAGTCCTGGATGTGATGCAGTAGATAGCCGGCTCCCACCACTGACAATAGCCGAACCAATTGAATGGGTGTTTAGCTTACACAATGATTTGGGTGGGGCGAAGTTCAAGTGACTATTTTTCTCCTCCCTCCCTAACGAATTGAACGGTCGGTCGGCTAGCAGCAGCGACCTTTGGATGGTGGGTGGATTGATGAGGAGTTGAGTTTATTCCTGTGAACGAAGATCGATGTTAAGGGCATGCAAATAGAAGGGAGGTTTTTTGGGACGCTATGCCATCTTGGAATAGCAAAATTCCCTAAGCCAGTCGGTAGAAACTAGCCGACCCAGAAAAATGAACCCTGGATCCCGTTACCTACCCTGGGTGCAGGTTGTGGTTGATGTTGATGTTGTTGTTGTTGTTGAGCAAAAGTTCGTTGTTCGTGATAGACGTCGTGTCTAGAAGGTTGAACGAACTGCTGCTGTTGCTGAGCGTTTCGTGGATCTGAAAAATCAAAACAGAGAAATTAAACAAATGATCAGATCTTGCCCTCTCCTCTCATCAGCCGGCTTGGGTGGAAAAGTCACGTTCCACCTAAGCGATGATGGATACCGGGGGAAAAAAGAGGCTTTGATTGGCAGCACTTACGGATATCTTGATTCCAGTATTGTTGCTGTTGTTGCTGAGGCGGTTGGTATTGCAGTTGGTACGGTTGTGCCCACTGAAATACCTAGAAATTACCGATGCCGAGCCTGACTCTTCAGAGCATCGCTCGACTGCAAGAGCCCTATCTGCTCTTGGAAAGAAAGAGCTTCTGGTGAAAGAATGAGGAGAGTACGGACGACAAAGCTCTGGTTAGAACCTCTGGGAAGACCACCTCTGAGAACAAGCCATATTACTGCAGTCCGTTAGTCAGCCGATGCAGTGACGAAGGAAAAAACCTTTCAAGAATAGGTTTGACAAGAACTGCGTAGGGCGGGGTTAGCGGAAAGAGAAAGAACAAGCAAAAGATGAAGGATAGGAGTAAGACAGAGAGGAAAACATGCTGATGTACCCAAACCACCAATTCCCCACCTGCAATTGTCGAAGACGGTTCTCCTCTTCGATTCGCCTTAAGCGATCCTGTTCGTCAAGCCGATGTTGTCGGAGCAGTTGTTCACGCTCTTCGGCTTCACGACGACGGATCTGCTCGAGACGTTCCCTTTCGGCACGTTCTCGTTCGAAGAGTCGTCTGAGCCTCTCCTGCTCTTCTCGTATCAGAAGATTCTCCTCTTCTCGAGCTTTTCTTTCGATTTGTTCCCGTTCGAGAGCCTTCTCGTATCGAAGTTGCTGTTGAAGGTACTGAAAGAAGAGGAGTGGTCAGATGGTGCTCATGCAGTAAAGTAATTGTATAAAATTTGGATGTTATAAAAAGAAGTTCGAAGGGAGGGATTGCATATGAAATAGGAAAAAAAACCAAAAAAAACTCTCGAAGGAAAGGTCGTGCAGTTCTGACCTGAAGACGAAGTTTTACTGGGAGGGAACCTGAGTAGGTTTCTCTCGGGGTGCTCGCTGAAATCGCCCATGCAAAAGGCATCCGGGTCAGTTAACAACGAGATATACACCAGATGTTGGACGTGGATGCTCCCATACTTTTTGTTCCCATACGTAACTCCCTTACCGCATCTCTAACCTTGTTCATTACTTTCACTTATAAAAAATCAGCATAACCAAGATTTCAAGACAGTTTCGACCTCAGCCGACCTCCCAGTCGCAAGCTTCCCCGTAGGTCTAAAAGGACCGAGAGAAGAGGTTTCCCACATGTTCGTGTTTGAGTCTACTGTCAAACTGGTGGTGAGAAAAACATCAGGGGAATCAAAACAATGGATTACCCATTAGATGACCAAAATGGGGATGGTTAGGTTAGAGTGGGCGCTCCAGAGGGTGATAGGTAGAGTGGTGGAGGTGGAATGACAGGGACGCAGAGAACTTCCGAGATGGTCCCACGCCTACAATCCTACCACATGACCCTTCATATTTCTTTGAGTAGAGTTTAACAAAGTTGTAACAAAAACTCTTCTTTCAGTGGGATTTCAGTGACATAAAGTCGGATTTAAGCTTTGATTCTGGGTCATTTTCGAAAAATACCCGAATATTCTGGTCTCCTACTCCTACAGGTCTTGACTTTGGCTCCAGAACATAGCTTTAGACAGAACGGTTCAGGAAATTTTGACTACTTAAATTCCCACCATCCCCCAGCCCCATGCTTCTTCCCCGAAACAGATTGGCAATGACGATAACTGGAAAAAAGAGCTTTTTTGCTTTTTCGGATTCATCCCTCTGATGAAAATTGATNAAAAAAATCGGGAAATCGTAGAGATGCTGAAGAACTTGTGTTCTTCCAGTCGAACTCTGTGTTGATCCCTTACCCCCCTCCTCCCACCCAGACTGAATAATGGAAATGTACTAACCTGCTGTTGTTGTCTAAGTTGCTGCTCTTTGACTCGATCTTCAGGCGCGCTAAGAGGGTATACCTCAATGCGAGCCGCACTTTCAACCTGGAACAGACAACACCATTAGTTCGATCGTCTTCCATCATGATCAGTTTTTGCGTGATCGCCGTTGTAAAGTAGGAAAAGCAGAAAACAACTGGAGAAATAACTGGAGAAATATATTAGGTGAGAAGGTTTGAGAGAGAAATGGATAGCCAACGTTTGGTAGGAGTCTAATCCTGGTCTGAGGCGACGTCTAGGGTTGTGTGCATGAAATATCTCAGAAATGAGTAAATACCATCGGTAAGTTACCGTACACGGGTATACACCAAGCATTCTGTCTTCTCCCTGAATCCCATATCAATTTGAAGGTGCAATAGCTTCTAACATGGGCGGTCTAACAGTATATCCATTGAAAACGTTACAAATGTGCCATTTAACTTGGAATGTCTGCTGAAATCATTGACGTTCTTATACGGGGAAGGAAGGAACACATGATTGCTGAGGAGCCCTTTTGATAGCCCGAGCGAAAGATATTGCCAGAACCTTACTCAGGGGCACAATTGAACCTTCCATAAAGCCTAAGTGGGAAGGGTAGCACCGAACTTCAGGTTATGAGGGATTGGGTTACGTGGCCGTGAGACTGGCACAACATAAGGTGGCCCCGATTTGATTTGTTTTGCTCTCGATCCGCTACTTTTCGCCGGCAACTCCCTTTCAGCCCGATCATCTCACTCATTGTCAGTCAAAAAAGTCAGCGGCAAGAGGCTCCTCAAAAATGGCTCCTCTTCTTTCTATTGGGCCTAGGCATTCCTGAGCAGGCTCTGATCCGAGCCTCTGCTCTCTGCGGCAGATCGGACGTCAATTCTAAACCACGCCTGAGCAAATCTTTACAGGAGGCAGAGTGTTGGTCTGGGTCAGTCTGACACACCCAGGAGAGAATTTCAAAAACTTGGCCATATTTTGACCCTAGTTCGATCCCATGGACAGCGGCAGGAATTACGCCCAGAAGAAGAAGGAGGTTCCGAGGCGAACGGCCGCCTGTGAAGTGAACGAAAATTAAAAACTGAAGTCTCATAACATAATGGAAAAAGAGCGGACAACTCGTCCAAGAACTCCCATATCAGCTGCTCTTTCACTGTGAAAAATTGTCTTTAGAAAAAAAGAACTTTATGCATTTGTGCTGCCCACCACCAACTCGCTTACACTCCTCTGAAACGATCATCGCCAACAAAAAGCGCTAATGCCTCAGGGCTGCTGCTGCTGCTGCTGCTGCTCCCACCGCCGCCGCCGCCGACGCTGCTGCCGTCTCATTGCCGTCCTATTTACTTCGGACGCTCGCTTTACAATGCCGGCAAATCACCATGGGTAAGGTGGGCGAGATTTTTGCCACGCAGAAAAAAAAGGTGACGGAGGTGGAGGTTGTTTTTTGCGTAAGAAACCCCGAAGGTGTGCCAGGTGAAACAGGTACTTCAGCTTGGGGCTACTTCAACAGCCCTATGTCGGAAGTTGCCCATGCTTTAGACGGCAGATTGAGTACAGGGGAAGATCACGGTATCCTCGGGGATAAGAAAGGATGTTGGGTAACGGATCGGCCAGGCTGGAAGCTGACTAGGTTCGAGTGAAGTTCAGCTGACTAGGTACACCAGAACAATGAGGGATTTGAAAGCCTGGGGGGTCTCCAGACCCGTCAAATTGAGTCCATTTGGAAGAGATGGAGAAGAAGTTGAAATAAAACCAAAGACGAAGTTGAGAGTTTCAGATTTTCAAAAAATTTTACATCAAAAGTCTAATAAAAGGATAATTACATGGGGAAAAGTTGAGTGAATCAATTGGTTGGTAGCAGCGGTTGATGAAGGGAGGATATCCGCCAAATATTTACGTTCATGCGGAAAACGGTTGACACACTAAAGAAACAGTTCGTATGCTGAGTTAGAGAGACATGCAAACAGATGCGCCTCGACGAACACCCCGTCGTGGTCTCCTCTGGAAGCCCATATGCCCACGACTACGTCCTCAAGAGTTAAGGTTGGCCCTAAGGAAGGCAAAGTAGAGACCCTAAACCAGAGGTGTGAACCAGCTTAGCAGCACGGACGTGTGGAGTCGAATTGAAATCGGATTTGCCACCGATTCGTGGCCGAGGAAGCTGTGTAATACCTGTGATAAAGAGGAGAAGAGATGCCATTGAGCGTTTAGCGGAGAAGGAGAACCGACCGGGGTTAACTGAGCTTGGATTCTATGCCTACCAACCGAATTATATAGTATTTGATAACGAATTACACTGCCCAAGTTTTTGTAGGAAAGACTAATTGATAGGAGGTGGTCAGGGCGGGGACGGGAAGAAGAAATGTGGGGGTGCGAGGATTTGAGGTTAGAATATGAGGTTCAAACAATAGGTTTTCCGGTTACGAAGTAATAGAGTAGGAGTACCTGCCGAGGTAGGTGGGTTGATGGGGATACTAATTAAAGTAAGCCAAAAACAAAACAATAGACATGTGCCGTCAGCAGCGCGGCGCCTTCGCCTGCCAACTGTCCGCCAGGGACCACGTCAAAGCCCACCATTACAAAGCTAACTGCAAAACCCTCTCCTGCATGATACATTCGATTCAGTTCTCGACGGTAAAAGGCATGGTTTTCGTGGTCCTTTGGGGTGTCGGTCGCGTGGAACGGCCGCGAGGATGACGTGATCGGGACCACTCGAACTCCTACGCTTTTCTCTCTCGATTACCCGCACACCGACGACCGAAACGGCCTCTTTCCTATAGGAAAACTGACTGCCCGCTTAGTCATTCGATAAACGGCATATGGAAAAAGATATTATGATGAAAATCTCGAAAAATCGTTGAATGTGCCGGCTTTCAGAGGCAAGGGAGTTTTTTCGGTCAAAGGCCGAACGTTGTAAAGTGCTGCCGGGGCGCGCAATTGAGTCAGTAACGAGTTAAACAACAACCGATAGATCGATCCATCCCGTTCGTGGGATCCTTTGAAGCATTGTTGACGTCAAAATGGAAAACGAAACCAACCTTGCCAAATGCATTCTCAGCAACTATCGTATATTCACCCGAATCATCCGGAGTGACCATCGATAGTTTCAGAACAGCCAACGATCCTGTAAATGGGTATAAACTGCCTGGATCCGGTTCCTCAGTAGTGAAATCCTATGAAAATTTAGAAAACATGAATTTTTTAAGTGGTCTCTATTAAGAAATTTATTGATCAGTTATCACCCAGTTGTTACATCCTCATTAGTATTAGTTATCTAGCTTCCAAGACGTCTCAAGGGGGGAGATTTTTTCCAACTTTGACTGTCTTCAATTTGTTCGGCAGAAGTCCGAGAAGTTCGGCTAAGAAGCCTGATGTTTCTGTACNGGGGGGGGGGGGGGGGTAGATTTTTTTCAACTTTGGCTGTTTTCAATTTGTTCGGCAGAAGTCCGAGAAGTTCGGCTAAGAAGCCTGATGTTTCTGTACATGTCAAACTGTCACCCATTTTCAGCTCTATAGGGAAAAGTGCCCAAAGAGGGCACGGTTTGACATTTCCATATTTGACTTCCGTGTCGGTTTACCCCACTTTGATTCCCTGTTCTAGATGGAGCTAAGGCTTTTGTCTAAGAAAGCAGTCGTGAATCTGATGGTAAATCTGATAGAGGAAGCCTTTCGACGTTAATCACTTCGTTTTTGGGATGCGCCCCGCAAACTAAACCCATCCAGAACCGTAGGGATGTTCTAAGTGTCCATATATCTACACATGGGCTTCCAAAAAGCAGCAGATGCACAAGAAAATGCTTTTGTTCTCTGGGACGATACGGTATGCCTTGAGGCTTGACGAAAAGGAAGCTGGTTGACCCGGGAGGTCGATATCGTTCCAAAATTCAATCCTTTTTCCATGTGTATGTGATGTTATGCCCCATAGCACCGTACCACTTCTGCCCTTGGATCTAATAATCAAAAGAGTGTCTTTAAGTTTTCCTCTTACTGCAGCTTTGAAAATCACTGTAAAGATTCTCGAGGTTTGGATCAATATTGCGGCTCTTTCTTTTTTCTGATAGCCTCTTTGGATGCCATTGTCTCGGATGAAAGCCGAGCTCTTCAGTTGTACCTCGTCTCAGTCCAGAGATAAAACCAGCAACCAGTTAATACGGCCATCTCGCCATCTGAATACTTCCTCAGATCTACGGGGTCGTCATGAAAACTACGAGTAAGAAGTAAAATTGTTTTGCTTTGACCAAACTTCTCCAGGATGCACCCATGCAGTCAACATTCTATTCGAAAGCCTAGTGAAGGCTGAATGTCTTTTCGCTTTGTAGTACTGTGAGTTCCTGGATCAACCAAAGTACGAGTTGGTGCCTCCATCCTACTAGAACACCTGATGCCAAATAAATAATTGCGAAAGGTTGGAAAACTCAGGTATTCAGCCTGGAGTTGATCCTATTGGACCACGATTGTTTATAACGCGCCAACTGGTATTATCCCACCTCCGCCTCATGAGATTGTTACAACATTCTATTGTCTATGACACAATATGGATTGAAAGTTCACCTCGACCAGATTTATGATGTTGAGCGATGTGCTCTCTGAAGCTTACTGATAATTTATCACCGAATTATTTACACGCAATCAATCACTGTATTCCTGAGTATTGGAGGAAACGGAAGGATGATATGCCTTCACATTTAAATATTTGGAAGATAGTTACAAAAGTTCTTTCATTCATACCGGTATACTAGTTCGCGACCATTTCAAAAACGAAAACTCCCTCGTGGGTTCGTCGCCTACGCTAGTCCATATCCCCTGGATTGATCAGTTTGTAATTATCCTAAATGCTGTGCAGGGATAAAATTCAATGTATGGGACCTTTAGAGGCAGCCACACACATCCATTTCACTTCCACTCTTGCTCCTATTATGAATCTGTCAGTATCAGTTTCTGTTATCATCGCCTTCTACGCACCACGAAGCGCAATCTAGCGGTCTATCAAAAAGTCCCGTCATCAATGAAGTAGTTACAAAGTGAAAAATCATCGCAGCTTGGAATGTGAAGGGAAGTGGATAGGGGAAGTGGCAGCTAATGCACGTGTTTTCTGCAGAATCTACCGCTTCACCCGGTAATGGCGTGAAAAAGCGAACAATTTTGTGATAAGAACTTCTGTAGCTTAGGCAGGACATTACCCACGGTTTAGTTCCAAAATTTTGAGTACAGTCGACCGGAAGCTGGGTAGATTCGAGTAATAGTCTCACCTGCGTTTGACAAACACCTTCCCCTCTTAGTCGAACCTTCTGCACTGTTAAGTAATTATTGTGAAGATTCTCCACTGTGCTTATCATTGAAAATAGGAACAGATCATTCAAAACGCGTTTATTAAGTTCCGGGATAGGCCTGCATGGTATATATCAAGGACGATTCACTGCTACAGCTCTCTTGAAAGTATTACCGGAAAGTAAGCTAATAAGGATAGTTGCAAGAGACTTTCAATAGCTTCCATTTAACTCAAACAGCGGGAGTTTAGGGAAAGATAGCAGTTTTTACTTGACCGCTAGTTTCCGACTCATTTGCTCCCATAATTTCTCCCATCCGCAGGTGGTTATCTCAAGATAGCACAGCTGTGTAAACGGGAAAGTTATTTGATCCTTGATTTTCGCCTCTATTTCATACTGGCTTATCTAAAGCTCGCTTTCTAATGAGGTTTCGGTCAATAAAGGAAAATTGTGTCCCAATCCGGATGCTGCGCACATTCTTAGCTGACTAAAGTCAATCTTCACTACCAACTGCATTGCTTTGAAGTTCGCCTATGGTCACCCACTGAAGCCACAGCTACTTCAGGAACATGTTCAGTGGGAATACGAACCTGTTTTTCTTACAAGAGGATACATATTCCCAAACGGTCGCTGCTATTTCATAAAAAAAGGTATTTCTGTTTAGTTGTTGCTGATGTTTGCTCACAAAAGCTCGAATTTTTCTCGTGTTGGGTGTTGATCAATTTCGCCCTGAGATGACCCTACTTATGCTACTTCAACCAGCAAATAGCAAATGGGTTCAAACGCGCTTTTTGCCCATTCTACGAAACTTGGAACCGAAAAAGTACAATTCAGCGATGGCGCTATTTATAACTAGTCACTGCAGCTGTATACATATAACGCGTTCAACAGAACATACAGGAGGCTACCTCAACATCTGGGTCACATGTAAAAATATTTGTGATTCATCCTGATCAAATGATCCCAGTTTATTATTGTTCAGGTGTTGCCTATTCTAGATATCCTTTCTATAGATATTTTCCAAATATTTCTCCCGCTTCCAGGCTCTGACGAAGGCACCTAGCTGAAACACGCTTAACCTAAGATCCTAAACCTAGGATCCCTATCATACCAAGATTAAAAACGCAGTTCACGATATTTTTGAGGTATCCTTTTTAGGTTGAAGAGCGAAAGTGTTGATGTGGAGGAGTACATCGGTGGGAAGAAAGCGTGAAATCGCCTACTTCGAGGTTTCTTGAAAGTATAAGGGAAGTAGAGGTTGAACGAGATTACCTTGAAAGGAATGGAATTTCATGTAAGGGGTTTTTGGACAAGATTTGACTTGCTCCCCTCGTGCAACGAGCTGACTATATAGACCATAACTGTCCAGAATTGCCTTCCACTGTCGCTATGGGTCATGACAAATTGTTTGAACTTTCTACATTGGCTCCCTTATAGACGGTGCAGCCTCTACAAAGCCGCTGAAACTCGTCCCTATGGGTGTCGCACTCACATGATACAACTCTAGTTCTTCACTACGTTCCACTGCGCTATCCAGGACGTTTTTTGCCATTGTAACGACAGGTATGATATAAGGGGAAGCATCGAATTCATATTATAGGGGAATCTCAGAAATCACTTTTACTAAGAACTGTGCCTTTAAGTGAATCGAACATGGTCGCTTCTACGTTACTATCGTTTGGATGCGAAAGTTCAATATCGATCACATGCGCCCTAAATCGACTCCTAGTCCAATTATTTGATATTGAATGATTTAAGGCATACGTGACAAATTTGAAGACGAATACAGTATGCTCTGACACATTTTGCTGTCTTTATGGCCACAAGTTTGAATAACATCATTTGTCTCTTGTGCTCTTTGAGATGCTATGTCAAGCCTTTACTAAAAAGTTCTTTGACGTGGGTGAACATCAGCTGCTGCAATGTCGACGGGAGTTTCACTTTTTTCTGCTATGAATGTAATCTATTCTCAATCTCAAACATATTTTAAAAATGTGAATCATATATCAATTAATGGGGCGGGACCACATGGAACCGATGGGTTCGGAACTCAGACTAACGGTTGCCTCGACCAACCAAGACTACCATCCCTCGCGGAGTCCCTAGATTGGTCACTCACTTAATCGCCACAACGATCCCAAACAGAATTGGAATTCACAGAGCATTCCGGACGAAATGGATTTGCCCCAAAAACGGTTACCTTACGATCCATAGCGAATGATCATGCTGGTGCTCTCTGCAAAAAAGGACCAATAGACAGAATAGGAGACTCAATATAGGAGCCCGGTCCCCATGGTAATTCAGCCGGGGTTCCTGGTCCGAATGCCTATTTCTAGTGCAGCACAACTATGCAAGAGCCCACCTAAAAGTTTTGAAATGCAATGTTGGACGTGGGACTTTGCCTCTATTGCATTTTATTCCACCGAAAGTCACGGTGAAAACTTTTTTCTCACACCAGGTGTTCCAGGTTTTCGTTTGGTGATGAATGTGAGGTTTTGTAAAGTGTAAATATAAACTTCCGGAGAAGCCATGCGACTTTGTGATGACCGTTGTACCAGGGTGATTGCTCGGAAAGCAAAACGAACACCAGGCCAGCACAATGGTCAGGATTCTTCATGAACGGGAGAAATTTTGTGGCTCGTGCACCTAGAGCCAGGACGAAACTGGACCATTCTGGCTCGCGAAAGGGCTGAATAGAGACGTTACTTGGGCGCTCGAGGAAATCGATGATCAAAGGGACGATCCGGTGACAGGTGACATTTTCGGTGAGAAGCATAGGGATGTTGCAAAACGGAGGCAAGTATCTGTCTTAGGCTCGACCCTGAAGAATGAAATCGTTCTTTTCTATTACGGAATACCGATCTAGAACTACGGTAGCGAGGGATCATTGACTAGACCTACGTACTACGATAACTTTACGTCTGCTGCATTTAATTTTACGATCACTATCACTGTAAGAGCCTATTTCCGATGTGATTTTTCGTTTTTGTTCAATGCTCAGCAAAAAAATACAAGGGATCCCCCTTTAATACCTGAAAATACGACTACTACAGCAATTTCGACTCATCTTAACAGCATCATTTTCGGCGGCAAAGTCCATTTTGTACAGCTAGCGGAAATGCTTTGCTGGGAACCGGCTAAAAGACCCATTTTTTCAACTGGCGTCAATGAAAAAGTCATTCGTGAAGGCGCAAAAATCAAGGGATTCACCGACGGTGTTCCGAAAAAGGGACTCAACGTGTGGAGCTGTTGATGACCCTCAGTATTCATGTTAGTATGAAAAATATTTGAATACGAGATAGAACTGGGAGAAATTCGGACTTGCAACCGATTTAATCAGCCAGTAAACGTCCCCGTCATTCCGCAGTCCCACTAGACACCGTCATTCGCTAAAGCGTGAATGAAGTTCGAATAGCACAGGCCTCTCCCAGCCTTTCCAAGCCTTCTATCCCTCCTGGATCAAGTATTATAATGGGCCCAGACTTGTCTGGCTGGAAAAAGTGCTGACTTGTAGATTGGTTAGTCAACGAAATTCAGTGTGTAGACTATAAACGTATTCAAAACTACGATTTTGAAAGGAAGTTGAATGCTGGGCGCATCCCAAATACGGGACTGATTAAGGTCAAAAACTGAAGATTCCATCCATTATACTCCATGTAGGTGGCGAAGCTGAGCATGGAGCTTCACAAAGCTCCACAAGGTCCATGAAAAATTGTAGAAGGGTTTGAGAGATACAGTAGACAACATTACAGGTAGTTAAAGCTCCTCTCTAAAGATCCGACTTATGAAATTGCACCGGGTGGGCAACCACTAATGGTGATTACACACCGACCGTATGAGCGAAGTCATTCAGGAGGTTAGGAATGTCGACGGGTGGCGATTCCTGCACCCAAATTCCCAGGCAAGCGGTAGTGCTTTGCAGCATTCGCCGTAACCTCCCACTGGGGATCCGAGTTTTCCCTTCTCAGCAAGCGGCTGCGCGTGTTGAGGTATTGAGAATGCGAACGGCGAACGTGGCACACCATTCTGGTGCAGGAACCGATACCCGGATCTGCCGATACCCTTGAGAGAACAGTACCTTTTTTTTTGTTCCCAAGAAGTACTTCCTCTTTTTTGGTTCCTGGTTACAGCGATTCTTGTATTTGTATGAGGCAATTTGTGGATTTTAGACCTTTTCTTTGTTTGATTTGATAACGTTTTTGCCTACTTTACATACTATTCTAAATTCATATAAATGGATCTGATTGTTTCTGAAGGTTCTGAACGATTTGAGGACTCACCTCGGAAGGTCATCTGTATTCGTGGTCCACTGATTCGAATCGGATTCCCATTGAAGAGCCAGTAAATCTGAAAAGCTCCCGCATTCAGAAGTCACCATTCAGCATAACTATAACCCTAGAAGCCTGTCACCAACCTTCGGTTTTGGATTGCCAACGATATTCGATTGAAGGATAGCGTCGGTACCTTCTGTGAGACGAAGACCTCGGGGAGGGACTCGAATAATTGGACGTGTTCCGGGTGCACCTTTGTCCAACATTGCTAGTTCGGGTTCGGTTTCCGATTCCGAAATACCCCACGGTGACTGAAAACGATCAATAGCATCATGTAAAGGTCAAGTTGTCAAATAATCTACACGGGCAGAACGCCCGTAAATGTTTAACAAAACAAAAGCATTCCACAGCAGCATGGGAAATATTCGATCGTTAGGAGTAGTATCTGCCGAACACATCGCAAAAGTCGAGAATTTTCTTGAATGTTCTAGAACTTTCTATGGCACCTGTTCAAGGGGCTACCATTTTGCATACGTATAATATGGCCGGCTCCCTCTTTTGCTTATTTATCATCCTATAGTGGTCTGTCTCCTTTACCGTACTCGACAATTAGTTCTTCAGGACGTTCGAATCCGGCCACTCTGCTGCTGAAGCCTGCCGGGCCTAGTATCAAGCACTTGCACCTGGTGCCCTTTCTAAAACCCACNGTGTGTCCCAATCCGGATGTTGTGCACATTCTTAGCTGACTAAAGTCAATCTTCACTACCA